CTGGTGGGGGACAGCGACGTGGGCAAGGGGGAGATCCTGGCCAGCCTGCAGGACGGCGCCGCCGAGTCGCCCTACGGGTACCACATGGGTAAGCGCACCCCCGGCCCCGGGGCGTCTGTCCCGCCGTGGCGAGGTGTCTGCCTGCTGCTCCGCTTCTCCCGCCTCCGTACGCGCCAGCGGGCTCTCGGGATCCGGACCGGTGAGGCTGCGGGAGGCCAAGGCCGCGCAAGTGCTGCCAGCTTCCCGGGCTCGGAAACGAGAGCAGCCGGACCGATGGATAAACCGACCGCTTCTGCAGGGTCCTGCTGGTTTAGGGCGCTCCCAGGTCGTCCCAAAGAAGAAAAAGGGTAAAACATGCTGGATGATGTTTTGCTGTATGTAGTTTTTAGAAAGGAGGTGGAATCGTTGTCGGGGTTTAAAATCCCATGCAGGTGATCTCCAAAACTATTTTTGGAGCTCAAGTTTAAGAGGAGTGTCTTAATACACAGAATGTATTGATCAACATGATAGGATTTATTTTCCTAAGCAGTTATAGGATTTATTTTCTTAAGCAGTTATTTTTCTGTTGTCATCAGTGAGTAAAGGGAAATACTAACAAAAATGTTTTTCTACTAAAAGGTTTTTGTTAAACAGCAGAGGTATTTGCTGTGAAACTGCTTTCACTGAAAGAGCAGAAAAGGAGATTTTTTTTTTTCCTCCCTCTCTTATACTGTCGTGTTCTTAATATCAGAAGAGTAGCCCTTTAAGATCAAGGTTCATGTTTGTGTTATGTTCTTTCAGTTAAGCTTTTTAAAGGGCAAGACCGAAGAGCCTCGTCCATGCCAGATATGTCCTGTCTGCAGAGTAGGGAGTTATGAACATTGCAGAGTGATTTACTACTAAGCTAATGGCTCGAGGAAAAGGGGATTTCTGTTTTCCTTCCCTCTCATTCTCTTCTTTTCACTCCCCCAGTCTTGTTTGCCTAGAACGTACTTCAGTTTCACTTCTTTTCTTCCCCTCATGCAAATCTGTCATGTGGCATGTTAAAAAGCAAATTATCTTGTCAAATTACCCATTGCTTTAATTTACTGCCAGTCTGTGACTAGTTAATTCACTGGAAGGCTTTACATTGACTTAGGATCTATTATTATGTTGAGTTCCTAGTACTGATTCCTGGCAAAGAACTGGAGGGAGGGAGAAACGTTCTCAGTGCCACTGCTTATGAGTCAGACTGCACCTTGAAGGCATCGATGTACGTTTTAAGACGTTTGCTTAGTACCTTTGCTGAGTTACTCCTTGGGGTGTTGCAGTGTGTTTACTGTTCATGCTTCTCGGGTGGTAGAGGAAAAGGGACAGAAGGCTTGGGGAGAGTGTGCCTCATCTGGCTGTGTTCTGTACACGCAATCTAGTTTTTAAATTCTGAATTTTTAAATTCTTATGCTGAAGGAGCCCTTGAGTCTCCAATGTATCTTGACGTAACTGAGAGGGAATGTTTGACCAGCTCCTGAGCTCAGTCAGTCTCACTTCAGACTTCTGCGTGTAAACCTCGTTATGCTTATGCTTTTGCTCTTAAAAAATATTTCAATTGTGTGGCTGACACACTGTGAATAGATTTCTTGACGGCCCAGAAATACAACCATTCTTTTTTAATTAATTTTCAATTACTTAGCATGCAGCTTGGAAGTTCTTCATCAGGACTAATAACTTCAAAATGTGTACAATACAGGGTTGTAAGTTTTATGTGCTGTTTCATGGATTGCAGTCTCTTCACCAGGATATTTATCGATTTGAACTCTACAAGGTTTGGGAAATATGGTGATTCAGGACCTCACAAACTCTGCTATGCAAAGGTCACACCGTTCCACAGGGATGGAAAGAAGTTCTTAGCCCTGAGAAGATGAGCATGTCTCACATGAGGGTTATGAGTTCCAAGAGGAAGGCAGACATAACAGATGGCATGGTAGTAAAATGTGGAAGGAATGTAATACGATTTTTCATTTTATGCAATTAATGTCATAATTAAGAATTTTTGTATACACTGAGCCTCAGTGTTTACACAATCGTAGTATACTGTCTAGTCTCACTTAAGGAAGGATTTTAACATAAAAAATATTTTCTCTTCAATTTATAATGTTCTTGAATGCATCAAACTTGAAATACTTTTGAACACTGCATGTAAGCTGACCAGTTTCTTTGGTGGTCTCTATCCCACATCCCTCCTTTGCCTGTATCCCCTCAGCCTTTCCTACATCATTTGAGCGTGGCTGCGTAGGATGCAGCTGTGAGGAATCTGTGCAGGCTCAGGGACTATGAAAATAGAGATGCAGGGAGAGGGATAGAGCTAAGCATCCTGTTGGTATTATGACTCATTTTCTAATTTAATTTCATTAAAAAGCTTGGTAACACTGTTTTTTGCACCATTTTCAATCCTTAGTTCACTGCTAGGATCTATTACTTTCATAATGCCAGCTAGGTCTCTGCATTGGAAAGAGAAAGTCTAGTGATACGGTAGATCAAGTCAAAATGTGTCACAGGTATGAGCTTTGAAAAGACAAAACTTCGTTGTGAACCTTGATGAAAGGGAATAGTTTTGAGACTACGATGGAAGAGGAGAGAGATGGTGTGGTAAAAGACAAGAGCAATTGAGGAGAGAGAGGAAAAGTACTGAAAGGGCTTGAAAACGAGAACAAACAAGTTAATGTGATGAAGCATGGGAATTTGGGCAGTTGTTTAAATTTGTGTGTGCAAGCAAGACAGAATTTGATGTTTATTGCAACAGGAAAGAGGTTACTCCTGCTGCTGAAAGTTAGTAAATCAAAGGTGGGAATATGAATGTTGAGAAGTTTGTGTGAGCTCCAAAGGATGATCAAGGTGAAGGACAGATAAGGCCTTGAATAAGACCAGCCATTCAGATCTTGCCAGTTCTGTGGATAAAATGGAAAGATGACCCTGAAGTTACAGGGCTGGGTTTCAGAAAGGACAGCAGTGCATTAGAGTTGAGGACGAAAAGTTAGAATTTAGCTTTGGTACAGAGTTCTTTCTTGTGCTAAACAGGAGGTGTCATTAAGATGCACTGCAATGCTCTAAGAAGTAGAGAGACAGATTTTTATAAAGGAAATATGGGGAAGGACAAGATGTTGGACAGAATGTGACCCCTCCTTTGGGAAGGAGGGGAATCTAAATGAACCCCTTGGGATATTAAGAGAGATGGAAGAAAGGCTGAGTGAAGATGGACTCATCAGCAAAGAAGGATCAAGGGGCATTTGGTTGGTTGTTGTCTTCAGCAGCATCAAAGGCAGTTAAGAAGACAAGAAGAATGAAGATAAAACCTGGGGTTGACTTGAGCAGTGTGTTTTGGTTTGGGGTTTTTTGCTTGTTTTTTGGATTTGTTTTTTTAGTCATCAGATTCCTGAAGGCTTTATGTGCAGCTGTGTAACTGTCTCTTCTCATCTCTGTGGGCTCAAAGTTTCATTGTATAAACCACAAATTAATTTTTCACAGGCACTTTCTTAAGTATTTAAAAATAAATCTGTCGTCTTTCTCGTTCCCAGGAAAATATGGCAGTCATATGTCTTACTGTTTTTTGTCGGTACACAAAAATGGTGTGAAATCTGGAGATGGGAAGGAAAGCCAACATCATGTGATCAGTCAAGTCACTGCGAGCTGCTACTAGTCCACGAGCCATGGTTTGAAAGCATTTGGCATAGTTCAGCTCTCCAGAAGGAGTACAATCTCTTGGTCTCTGAGTTTTTCTTAATGGCCAAAGGGCTCTGGGGTGGGAAGTAGCTTTATTAACAGAAAGTAAGGACTGCCAGGGAAGGTGCGTTGTTGAGCATAACCACTTTCTGAATTATCTCTGTGAATTATCCTACAGATGGTCAGGTAGGCAATAAAGTCAGTTGTCTGGTAACCTGCCTTTATAGTTCTCCCACATCTTGCTCAAAGCTGAGATTGCAATAGATAGAATAGGAAGTACTGTTTCAGTTGGAAGGGACCTACAACAATCATCTAGTCCAACTGCATGGAACAGACTGTTCCAGATTGGACACACTTGGTCTGTAACCTGGTAATAAAAACTGCACGAAATGGTCTTGAAGAGAACTGCAGAAACTTTGCTTTTAAGCATCGTTAATTTCTCATCAGACCAAATTCAGAGGAAATAATTGCTTCTAGACTATGACATAATACCTTAGATGTGCTGTCACTACGTAGACAAATATTTTGATGTTTTGCACTAATAGATTTTTACTCAGCTGGATTCAGGTTTTGCTCTCATACTAAAATATGCTTGCAGTGTGTTTCCTTGACACAGGGACTGAAATTCCGGAATGGTTGTTCAAACCTGTGTACTCCTCCTCCTTTTCTTGCAGGAACACCAGGCTTAAACTGACAAATTGTGTCATCCTTTCTCACCTAGCGACCTTTTCATATCCTCTTAGATTCATGACTCATTTGTTTGTCTTCCCGTAAATTCTGTCTGTCCTTATATTGAGCACTTCACTAGGGTATCGGTCGTCCTGTCTGAATGCTTAAGAAGATCCCGGTGTGTGTTAGTTGTGGGTGTTAACAAGTGGTTGTCTTGATGGCTGCGTGGTTGGGCCTGGAGCTTGGATGGCCCAGCCTCAAACAGACCTTGATGGGGACAGCCAGATTGCCTTCTACACTGGAGCGTTTACACTGGGGTAGTTGTCAGCTGCTTGCATCCCAGCAGAGAAACCCATGGCTCGTGGTGACTTCCTGGTAACTTAATACGCAGATCAAAGCCGTTCTTTGGTGTAAAGAGGAGGGAATGGGTCCTAACTAAAATAAGGAAACAAAAGGGAAATATTGTTAACATGAGAAATTAAAAGACTTAGATTTGTGAGCTGATTGTGGTTTCCTCTTCTTGCCCCTAATAAGACCAAACACTGATGAAGGTAGAAGTCTTACCACGAAGGTTTTATGTTAAGTTTCTCTGTTCTGTTCATAAAATTGTATTTTTGGAAGTGTTGCTTGGCTGAAAGGAAGGGGAAATAAAATTGTTTTGTTTTCCTACCAGTATAATAATGAATAGGAAGGGTTGCTTATCACTGACTTATTTTGAAGCCACTACATTTTCCTAAACGCACA